AAAAGAAAAGATTCTTTCATTGTTTTACAAACCCTCCCCCAGGTCCACTCCACCATGTAGCCATCGCTCTAGACTCCTGTCATGACAGAAATACCTAGGGACTAAGTTCTTTTAAAGCTTCCACCATCTCTGCAGCAGATGTGCTCTCTGATACCTTTCACCGTCGAAGAGATTGTGAAGCCCACTCAAATCCTAGGCATATTAAGGGAGGTAGGACCAGGGACCGGGGACCCCAGGAGAGAGATGTTTAGAACAACTGAGAGGAAGGATTTTTCTGGTATCCGCACATCCTATCCTCTGTGAAGGTAGGTGATGGCAGGTGAGTGAAAGAGCCAGAGCAGTGTTAGGTAAGAGTGAGGGAAGAGGCATGATGCATGGGACCCCAAGGGCATGGGATGCCTGTGACCCCATGTTGATTGCAAAACACATGACCCTAAGGGCTCAGACCCTAGTACCTACAAACCACAGGGAGGAAACTGGGCAGTCAGAGAGCGGTGTGTGTACATGTGAGTAGATGTATACGTGTATATATGTACACATGTATACGTGTGTATGCACTTCTGGTGGTAAGTGTGTATTAAGATGTGTGTGTGTGTATCCGCATACACAAATGGATGTGTAGATCTGTGTGAGTGCGTATGTGTGTGAGCGTCTATGTGTGTGATGTTTGGGAGTATGTATGTGAATGTGTGAGTGTGTGTGACTGTGTAAGTATGGCATTGTGTTTGTTTATGTGAGTCTGTGGGTACAAATATGTGTGAGTATGTGTGTCTTTAGGAGTAAGAGTGTGTGTGTTGAGTGTGTGAGGGAAAGTGAAAGTCTGTGTGTGAGTGTGTGGATACAATTAAGTGCGTGTGTGAATGTGTATGTCAGAGTGTGTATAAATGTGTGTATGAGTGAGTGTATGTGAATGAGTGTGAGTATGTGAATAAGAGTGTGGGAGGGGGTGAGTCCTTGCCACTGGTGACAAAGAGTTTGGATGGTGACCAGAAGTGCCCCCGTTGGTGGTCAGCACAGCTCTGCTAGGGTTTTGTGGGATCCACCACTTTCCCTGCCAGGAGCAGGTTATCAAAGATCTTCATCAGCACCAAGAAGGGCCTGGCAAAGGAGATGGTGCAGGCATGATGGATGGGTTTCTCCTTGGATCGGACTGTGAGCTTGACGTCGCTGGCTGCCGCGGCCTCCGTGCCTTCCTCTCCGACATCGAGCATGGACTTGTGGGCGGCCTACAAGGGAGGGACCAAAGTCAGCAGCTCACCCAGGACCGCTTTCCTTGTCGGAGCGTGGGGGTGAGGCTCAGGGAGCTCATTAGACTGAACAGAAGGACCATTACCTCGCCCCCCATCCCTCCAAGACAAGCACATCTGTCAGACGCTCGCCCCCACCCACCCCCCACCCCCGGGCCAGACAGGCTGGCAGAGCAAACTAAGATCAATGGAAAACAAGGTAGCGGGATGCCTGCAGGTACCTAAAGTGTCTCAGAGAGGAAACTTCCAGGATGAAGCTGCTGAACTAGAATGCCACTGATGCCCAGCTTAGAAGTCCAAGGCTGCAAGGATAAATACTGGGGCTCCCCCCTTGCTCAAGGCTGAAGGCCATTTTTCCTGCATTGAAAGCCTCAGGCCACTTTCGCTGAGGTGAATATTAAGTAAAAACCCATTTACTCTGGTTATTTTGGGGCCTAGCAGTCAATGGGACCTTTCAGTGCTGTCACCTCAGGAGAAGCATCAGAGTGATTCAGGCCAGTTGACGGGCCTGAGGTGGCTGAACAGAAAGCAGCTGTCATTGCTACTGGTCTGTTGGCTCTTCCACATGGAGCTGCCTGCTTTGAGCACAGAACTCTTGTTTGTTTGGGGTTTTTTTACTTTTAAACTTTTTTAATTTTTAAATTAGTTTATTTACAAAATTCTAATACATATTCGAACAAATTCTTTCCATTTACGTTACCCCCACCCCATCAAATTGTACAACCCAGTGATGAATCCCCTCTTCCTCCTGCACATCCACATCCCTCTGCTTCCAGCCTCTCCCACCCCTCCTGGATCCTTAGACTCATTCTACAATAATGGTCTTATACAATATTTATCCTTGTGAGACTGAGTGAGTTCACTCAGCACAATACTCTCCAGTCCCTCCCAAGTTAGGTAATAATTTACAAAGTTATTGCTCCTGCGGAGCACGGAGCTCTTGGAAGATCTATCTCCTTGGAATCAAATGGACCACGGGAACTTGAAAGAGCAGTTGGGAACTGCAGGGAACAGTGAGTTCATGTGAAGGGAGCAGGGGCAATTCTGAAAACAGAGGCTGAGGATGTTTCCACGACTTAAGGTTGTAATCAGTGTCAACAAGCGGTACCTGTAGGAAGTGTTGGCATAGTGTGTAGTCTGCTGTGTGTGTTGCCAACAACGACAAAAATGAGGATAAAGAAAGAAAACATTCAAACGGCACTAGGATGGGCAGAGGTTGGAATAATAGTGATAGAAAGAGGACATTGAGCGAAGTGAGAAAGCTTTGAATAAAAGATCTGCCTGAGGAAAGTGCAAGTCATATTTGGGAAAAAGGATGTCTGTCAAGCATCAGGACTGAAGTAGATGGTAACAGGAAGTTAGTTGCAGCACATGTAATTGAATTAACATGTTTCCAAATTTAGGCTCCCCCCCCCTCGGCATCTAGATCAATAGCCACAACAAAATTTGTGCTTGAGTTGTTACATCAAGGATTGACATTTGGTGGTGTACAATTTCTGGAAAATAGGAGGAGAAGGAAGAGGGGAAGAATGGGAGAAAAAAGGGGGGAGGGGAGAGGAGGAGGGAGGGAAAGTAGAGGAGGAGGAGGGAAACAAGAAAAGGGGAAGAGGAGTAGATGAAGGAGAAGGATGGGGCTGAAAGCCCACAAGCACGTACCAGAAAGATCTAGAGTTGAGTCTCAGCTCTGCCACTTGTGTGGATAGTTCTTTAGGGGTCATATGCTTCAGTGTCCTAATTCCTAATAATTCTATAATAATTCCATAAAAGATTATCCAGTGACTAGGTTAAGACCACACACAGCACATCCTTATGCACTTGTTAACAGTTTTGTTGTTATTGTGTACTGTCGAGTCGGAACTGACCCATAGCTGACTCTCCAGCAGGTTTTCAGAGGTAGTTAATTGCACAGGAGGAGATTTGCCTGGGTGTCATGTACTCCCGGGCTTCAGGGATCTTTGAGGATGTGCTAGGGGATGGAGATTAATCATGGGGTTGTGCAATTTGATGGGGATGGGGGGTGAGAGAAATTGGAAGAATCTGTTCTGGAAAACACTATTTTCAAGTTTTGTAAATAAACGAGTATAATAATTTTTTAAAAGGCATATAACAATTAAAAGTCTATACCTACCCAAAAAAAAAGTATGGAGGGAAAGGGAGTTTTCACTGTTCAGCTATTCATATAAACACTTTTCCTGTGTCCTCTCAAAAATATATGTTGGAATCCTATATAATGAATGTCGGGAATGGAATTTTCTTTGTCATGTTAGAGAGACCCTATCAATGGACCCTGTAAGTGTGACGAGGCCCCGTCAGTGGCAGGTGAACTCCATTGGTATAATTTATAGGACAATCAACCCCCCCCCACACCCCCACATCTTTGGTGGTTCAGATCTGCCAGCTGCCCGTTGAGAGGGGTAGTGTCCTGCCATTAAGATTTATAGCCTGAGGAAGTGGAATTGCCTCTAGGGTTTCTAAGGCTCTAACTCATTATGGAAGCACACTGCTTCATGTTTCCTCCTCAGAGACTCTTGTGGATTAGAGCCTCCCACCTGGAGCTTAGCCAAGTGGTTTCATCACTACAGCACTAGAACTCCTTAGCTCCAGAGATAAGGGAGCACAAAAGGTGGAAGAAAGAAGTTACATGTGTTAAGTCTGGACAAAGGCAGCCAAAGAGAAGAATGAAGCATTCAGAATTCAAATGCTGACCACCTTGACTGCTGCTGATAAGAAGAGCAAACAGCCTTGGCTGCCTGGCTGAGCTAGCAGGTGAACCGTGAATCAGAGTGGAATGTTCCTCCCTAAAGACTCTGCTATAAAAACCCTTCCTAATAAGTTCACAGTGTGACTTGCCCATTCTGCATCCCCAGAATGAGGAACTTCACCCAGGAGCTCCCCTATTCCCCCCCTTTAATAAAGCTGCATTAAGCTTTCTCTCGTTCTCTCTGATTTCTTCCTTAAGTCCACTAACTTAACAACATGGAGATCACGAGGGAACTAGAGGAAAGTGGGACCATGGAAGGTCAAAGAGAAGGATACTTCCTCCGAGCTGGCAGAGCCTCCTCTATACCTGACATCCACATTCAGGCTTCTGGCCTCCTATGTGATAAGGAAAAGAAGTGACTGTTTCTTAAAGAAACACTCACAATCCTCCTTGTTACAGCAGCACTAGGAAACTTGAAAGATGAAGGAAAGGTCTGTTACCTTTATCAGATGCCAGTGGGACCTTTCCACATCCCTACCCTGGAGCATGGAAGACAGGCTCCTTCAGGGACCCGAGGACCACTTCTGAATATTACCATCTACTGTCATCTGTCATCACCTATCCCGGAGGGTCATCTATGAATCAGGTCCAGCTTAATGACAGTGACTTCTGGAGCCAAGGAAGAGTTTAGGGTGGGGATCAGAAACCCATATACAGATAAGGTTTAGACAGATAATCCCAAAGAGATAAGGGGACTTCTTATCTGAATATACAATTCAGAGGTGGCATGTAGGCTCTCTGGGCAGTATTATTATTTTTGAACTCTGCTGGCCAGGAACACACCTCTACAGGGCACAGAATGACCCATGGGCAGCCCTCTCACAACCTCTGTGTAGAGTCTAAGCTTTAAGAAAGCATTGTGGCCTGAGAAAATGGTTTGTAGTATTTCTTAGTTTTTGAATTATGCTGAGTGAAATATCTCAGTAACTAAAGGACAAATATTGCATAGGGCCATTGTTGTAAAATGGGACTGACATCGGGGTTGAGGGAAGGCTGAGAAAGCGGGGATAAATAATGTTTACTGTATTGAAACTGATAAGGGAGTGAACTGTTTAAAAGGGATATATGTTTAGGTATTATTGTCATGACATGAGTCCAGCACAAAGGCTGCATAGTGGAGTGGTCTTGGGGGGGATTGTATAACAATGAAAGAATTTTTCTTTTACTTTTCAAATAGAAGAGCAGATTGTGGGGGGTAGGGGATGGTCAGGGAGAAAAGTGCAACAATGAATGCATGGAAACCCTCAGTTTCTGTAAACCGTCATTAAAATTAATAAAGAAAAATAAATTTTTTTTTTTAAAAAGAAAGCAAATGAGGCCCAATCTAAGATGAGCACGGGCTGAGTGAAGGGGGCATCAGTCAGCAGCTCTGCTGCTGAGGAGAGGCTTGATTCTCATAGACAGTACAAGGTGGCCTCTGTATCAGATGTCAGATGACCTTAGAAGCCACAAGAGTCAATCCTACTGCTTGTCAAAGAGAAGTCACCCACTTTTCTGGTCTTCTGTTATCAGTGGAATGAAAGCACACAATTAACCAGGCTCCACAAATCCTTCCCACTCAGGCTTTCTAAAATAGTATCATTGGCCAACTCACTTTGGAAATCATCAAGGAATGTTTCTTTGTGATTCCAGAAAAATCCGCCTTGGAGTCAAAGGCATCCTTGATGCCCATCTTCGGGAGGATGGTCCCCAGATCATAAGAGGCAGATATGGAAAATTTCGGCAAGAACACCTCCACCAGCCTGCAGAGAAGTGAACGTGAAAGGTGAGGTCAGAGCCCACAGGGTCTCCATCTACGACTCTATGTGACATTTTCAGACACTCTTCTTGTAATCATTGCTGATTATTGTAAAGGTGCTCAATCTGTTCAAGTCCAATAACCCAGGTTGTTCCAGAAGGAAGACTCTTGGTTTAAAAAATCTGGTGTGAAAGCTCCAGCAGATGGTGAAGGAGTCTCCCAGCAAAGTATGATTCAGAGCTCAGACTGTAGTGTGAGTGAAGGAATCTTTGTCAGAGGCTAAGGGCAGCAATGGAAGATAGCTAACACTTCTTGTCCAGAATTAACTCCCTCCCAGCCCTTTACAATATGATGTAAACAAGCAGCAAATCACAAACCAGTTGTTACTACGTCAATTCCAACTCCTGGCACCTCCATGTATGTTAGAGGATAGCGTTTTCGGTGACCAGAACCTTTTAGAAGTAGATCACAGTCTTCCTTCAGAGGCACCTTTTGTTCAATATCTGAGTTCTTGACCATGTGTACAACCCATGGACTCTTACTTCACACGGACTCTCACTTCTTAAGACAAACCCCACTAATTCTCCAGAGCAGCAGAAATAGAACTTCCTGCAATGTGGGAGACAGTGTGTGGTGCCCCAGTCTGGTAACCAGCTGAGTAGGTTCCTTGGAATCAAGGAGGGTGGTGCTTCATCTCACATACATGGGCATGTCGCTTAGGGGAGCCTATTCCTTGGAATGGGACATCATGCTTGGAGAAGTGGACGGTTATAGAAAGAGGAAGATCCTCTTTGAGATGGGTTGACACAGTGACAAGAGTAATGCTCTCAGGTATGTCAGAGATGACGAGGATGGCACAGAACAGGGCAGGGTTCACGTCTGTTGTTCACAGGGTGGCTATGAGACCTAGTCATCTTGATGGCATCTAACAACAGTCTCTAGTGACTTTTTTTTAATTATTATTAAATTTTATTAGTTTTAATGAACATTTACAGAGATTTTGGATTTTCATTCATTCATTGTTCCAGTGACCTTTGAGAACTTGAAATGTGGCTAATGTGAATAAGGGACTAAAGTTTTTACTTTATTTAATGTTAATGAATTTAAAGTAGAGGCGGTGGTCTCTACTTAGAACAGCTGTTCTAAGTAGACTTTGACGTAAATTCTTCTTCTTTAGTGGTTGTGCTGAATCCGGAATAAACACCCACACTTACCATGTACCATATATTACTGGGTGATAGAAGGAGAATTGATGCCTTTGAGCTGTGGTGCTGGAGGAGAGTGCTGAATATATATCATGGTCTGTTAGGAGAGGGTAAAGTCAGGCTGCTCCTTGGAGGCAAGGATTCTGAAGCTCCATCTGACATAGTTTGCATTTATGGAAGGAGAGACCAGTCCTTGGAGAGGGATGCCATGCTTGGGAGGGTGGAGGGACAGCACAGAAGAGAGAGACCCTCGATGAGGTGGATTGACTCAATGACTAGGGTAATGGGGGCATGTGTGTCAGAGACAATAAGATTGGCACAGGATAGAGCAGGTTTCAGAGCTGGTGTACATAGGGTCGCTATGAGTTGCAGGTGACTTGACAGCACACAACAACAACAACAACGTATTTTATTATAGGCATACTTGTTAACATCACACCCATTTAAAGACTATGACTTGGTTTATGAACTTGAAACACTTATGAAGATCAAAGACTATAGCCTTGAGTATAGATTGCTCCTCAATGTCAAGAAAGCCAATATACTCACAACCAGACCAAGGATTTCATTTTACTTGGATCCGTAATCAATGCTCAAATAATCAGCAGTCAAAAAAAATTTCAAATTTCTGGGTAAATATACTGTAAAGAGCTCTCTAGGGAGCTCATGAACAAAGATGCCACGGGGAAGACTAAGGGGCATGTGGCATAAGCCCTAGCGTTTTCTTACCTCAGATGCATGTGAAAGTTGGACAGATCAAAGAAAACGATGCCTTTCACTTGTGGTGGTGTAAAAAAAAAAAAATATTGACTATCCCATGAGTTTCCAGAAAAACAAGTAAATCTATCTCAGTAAAAGTAGATCTGGAATGTTCCTTCGAAGCAAGGATGACAGGGCTTCCCTTCATGCATTTGGACATGGCTTTAGGAAGGATAAGTCCCTGAAGAAGTCCTTCATGGTCACTAGAGTGGCACATCAACACAGAAAGAGAAAGAACTTCACTTAGATGGACTGACTCAAACACAGGAATGATCACGAGGCTGGCAGAGGCTGGGTGGTGTTTTGTTCTGCTGTGAATGGGATCACTGTGAGTCAGAACAGATTAGAGGCAGCCAACAACAACGTAGTCACAGTGCTTTGCACAAGATTGTGTACTTAGTGAGTCACTGAAGAGATTCTTTCCAGTCGTCCTCTGACGTCAGTGCCTGTGACATCTTACACCTCTGGCATCTCCTTCCTTCTCTGGCATATCTATCTCTCCATCTTTTCTGGTTCTTTTTTTGTTGTTGATACTCCTCAGCCTCCCGTAAGCAACGCCTCCTCTTCCCCTACCCAGCCCTGTCTGCTGTGAGAAACCAAAGTGCCTCTTCAGCATCTGAAGAACTCCTGGATCACTTCTTGTCTCTGTATCTTTGCAGTGTCATTTCCTCTACAGAGAACACCCTTCCCAAACTCTCCATGTTCATGGCCACTTCATTCTGGTGCTCAGATGGCAGCACCACCTTGAATTCTTCACCCGAGAGCAGCTGAGAGTGACTGTTATCTATTCAAATGGCCCTCAGCACTTGATCTGCTCTCTCTGCTACATCAGTCTTGTCTTTTTCGGGGTGAATGTCTTCTCTTCCCCCAGATAATGAACACCTGAGAGAGATACTTACGTTGAAAAACCCCCCAAGAGATGGAAAGTAAGACTTTGTTATCCCTTTCCATCATAAAATCAATACTTTTTATACTAGATAGATGACATAAATTATAATACAACTACTAACATTTATTGGGCATTGTTTATTCCCTGCATATTCTTAGAAACTCTTCATATAGTCCTGTTTACTTCTTTATTTTCCACAAACTATGAGTTTGGTATTGCTGTGGACTTTATTTTAAAGGTAAGCATCAATGTTTCCTTCTTTGCCTTTATGGAATGAGTTCCATCTGTTACCTACTGCTGTCAAGTTGGATTTGACTCCTAAAGACCTTTTAGGACAGGACAGAACAGAACTGCCCCCTAAGGTTTCCAAGGCTGAATATAGGAAAAGACTGTCACATTTTCCTCCAGAGAGTGGCTGGTGGTTTCAAACCCCTGACCTTTTAGTTATCAGTCAAGTATTTAACTATGTCACTGTTATTGTTATTGTTGTTGTTATGTGCTGTCAAGTGGACTGTGAGTCATAGAGACCCTATGTACAGCAGCTCTGAAGCGTGCCTGATCCTGAGCTAATCACTGTCTCTGACACACCTACCCCATGACCCCAGTCACTGTGTCAATCCACCTCATCTGGGGGCTTCCTCTCCTGCATTGTCCCTCTACCCTTCATAACATGATGTCCTTCTCCAAGGACTGGTCCCTCCTTGTAGCATTCCCAAAGTATGTGAGATGAAGCTTCAGAATCCTTGCATCCAAGCAGTAGCCTGGTTTCACCCTCTCCAGCACAAACCTGTTTGTTCTCTTGGAGGTCCATGGTATGTTCAGAACTTTTCTCCAGCACCACCATCAAAGTCACTAGGCCTTCTCAAATGAGTCCCCGGGAATCAGTATCAGCTGGCTGATGGAGCGTGCTGTGCTAGAATTTGAGTCTGTAGTAACCTGTCAGCTACATGAACCCAGACAACTACTTTCCTTCTCATAGTCTCAACTTCCTCATCTGTGAGATGAGGGGTAGTAGTATTCCCCATATGGCAATGACCATGACACTCAAGTGAGAATGTCTACTCACAGCATCAAACAGTCCGCATGCAGCTGGTGGTCAGTTCCCAGCTGTGACCAGCGGTTGGCATAGCCACCTCTGGCTGTACCTAATTCCTGGCCTTGGGATTAGGTTTCCCCAGGAAACGGATGCAGATGCCCACCTCTTCTGAAGCAGGCGGTCCCACTTCCTCAGGCGTGCTGCTGACAGGGCCTGTTCCAGCTGCCCCATCTTGCCTTGGCCAGGCAGGATGAAGAAGGCCTGGGCACCTCTGCTGTAATTCATCCGAAGCACAGAGCAGTTCAGCTCCAGATCCACCCCAAAATCCAGCTGCTGCACCTGGTGCATCATGGGGACCTTCACAGTGGTCGACTTGCTCACCGTGAATGGGGAAGCTTGACTTGTCTCTGCTGGGTCAAAGGGCTTCTCCCACTTGGCTAGTACAAAGAGAGAAGACAGGTCTTCATGTCAAGATGTAATTAGTGAGGCAACATAAGCAAAAAAAATTGAAGACTATTCAAAGGAATCTTGGTGGTGCAATAATTAAGAATGTAGCTATTAGTCAAAAGGTCAGTGGTTCAAACCCAGTACAGCGGAGGCAGTTTTTGAGGAGAACTTGCTGTCCTCCCTTATAATAAAGTGCTTATGGATATTGCAATCCATCTGTCTTATTTGCAATTGACTACAGAAAGAACACTTTGTGTTCTGTAAACCTGAACCTGAACCTGAGTCTGGGTCCAGACATGAGATTGCCAGCTAAGGAGGTGAAGGTGGATGGATCCTCCAGGTTCAGTGAGCCACTCCCTCTGAACTCAACCTCACAAACATCTTGCAGTCCGGAAGGCAGAAACCATCATGAAACTGTCTTGTAACGGAACAAGAAGGCATGAAGTTTCAACTAAAGAGCACTAGTAAAGGGTTAAAGTGGGCTCCCCTTCATCTCAATGCCCCTGTTCAGCAGGAAGCAGCCAGAGTCAGAACTCCTATTCCCAAATAGAGAGCCCACAAATAAAAACAACCAAAATCTCTTTGTAAAGAAGCCCTATTCCCCCAAGAATCACCCCAGAACGTTTGTCTTCTAGATATGACTTATCTGAAAAGAGGGGGTAATGGTGGAGTAGTATTAAAAAGTTCAGAATTCTCCAAATATATATCAGTTTAAAATGATATAGTTATAAAACTGATGCCAGTTTTCTCCAGCCTGCAAAACTAGTTACTCTGTCTTATAATTTTTATTGCCTTTCTTTAGTCATGTAAAATAGTTTGAGCTGTTTACCAGGAGAGGAAATGCATCTTTTCCTAGGTTAACATTTACCTCTTTGAAACTATTTTCTCCCCTGCCCCAGTCAAATGTAGATTGTATGTTAATCTGCCAGGATTATCTTAATCTACCAGGAAGGGAAATGTGCCTTTCCTGAATTAATAATACTTATATATGAACTGTTCTTTTTAAATGTAGCAATTCTGTAACTTTACTAACAAAAGTGTATTGTTAATTAAATTAGTATCTAACCCTAGTATGAAAACCTAATGACCACTCTCAGACTGGGAGGCCGATTTGAGAAGAACTTACTGTCCTCCCAGATCTGTAATAAAGTGCTTACGGATATTAGGAAAACAAAACAAAATAAAACCCACAAAAGCAAACAAACAAAAATGCAGGACAGGAGTAAAGACCTGATGATCAGCTTCCATGAACATGACAGCCTTGGGATTTCTATGGGGAATTTCTACTCTGTCCTGTATTGTCTTTGTGGGTCAGAACCAATTCCATAGGAACTCAGAGCCAACTACAAAGACACCCTAAAATCCTCTCAGAAATTTTCCTGAACACTGTAGCGGAGGTACTACCTAGGGTAATCAAGTTGAGAGACAGAATGAAGGATGGTAGATCCTTTGTGGAAAAGATATTTTCCTCAAAATGTTAAGTAATGTGATGCAGTAATTGCACTGTGCTATGGAATGAGTTGTATCCCCCAAAATATGTTCTACATATTTCAACCTTTATGCCTACAGCTTTAACTAAGTTTGAGAATGGGCTATGTGCTTGAAATGGGGTGTATAAGTAAAGGATATGTCAAATCAATCTCTTCTGAGATATAAAACTCAACTCATTGTTATCACACCAGAACTGATTCATAGCTGACCCTCCAGTGAGTTTTCAGATGTTGTAAGTCACAAAGGAGGAAACTGTTTATCTTTTTCCCTCAGAGCATCTGGTGGATTCCAACTGTTCACCTCTGGGTTGACAGGGCAACTTCTCTCCCAGTAGGGCACCAGAGCTCCCTTCCAAGATATAACAAAGATTAAATAAGCAAGTAAAAGAAGCAGAGATTGGGAGAGAGAGAAGCCATGAGAAGATGCTCAGGAATGGGTGCTCAGAAGAGACAAGACTTTTCCTCAGATTCACCAAAGAAAGATTTCTCAGCAGACAATATCCTGAGTCTGGTCTTCAAGTCTCCCAAACTGTGAGAAAATAAATTTGTTAAGGCCACCCATTTGAGATGTTTCTGTCAAACCAGCAGTAGATAGATAAGAGAATTTGGTACGAGAATTGGAGTGTGGGATATTGTTCTAAGAACTCTCTAACATGTGGGCAAAATTTTGGAATTGGATGATAGAAACTGAAATTGTTTTAAGTAAAGCATAGAATATGGACAATCTCTGAAAAGCTGCTACAGGGTTAGCCATGGGTCAGTTCCAACTCAGTATCATACAACAATAGTAACATAGGACACTTTGATGGCTTATTGGTAAGGAGTTGGGCTGCCACCCAAAGGCAGGCAATTCAAATCCACTAGCTGCTCCATGAGAAATAGATGGGCAATCTTCAGTACTACTTACAGCTCTGAAAACCCACTGGCATGTGGCATTCAACCATAGTAAAAGCTTAGATCTCTTAGACACTGTTTTAGAATGATAGGTGTCAAAATTCTGGTTAGGGCTCAGAAGGAAATGAAGAGAGCTAGAGAAACATCTCCATCATCTTAGGGCATCAGGGACAGGATGTTGCTAGAGATGAGGATGTTAAATAAGCTCCTCATAGGAATCTAAAAAAAAAAATGATGACTATCTGATTGTGCGGTGGAGGAAGGGTGGTGTTTTTTTTTGCATTGGCATAATTATGTTTTGTTGTCTGAATTTTGTTCAAATTTTTGGTGGAAGACAGAACTTGCAAGTGGTGCAGAGATATCTGGCTGAGGAAATTTCTAATCAAGATCTTAAAAGAGGTGTGTGTTTTCTCTTTGCTGCTTATAGTAAAGTGTAAGATGAAAGAAATAGAAATGAGCTGTGCTAAATGAAAACAACTTAAATATTTGGAAAATGCCAATGTATAAACCAAGGACATACATCCTAGAATGTTCATTAAAGACATGGCTACATAGTCTCTTATGAAAGAGATTAAACCTTTGACGGATGGATCTAACCAACTGCCATAATGGAAAAATCTATCGATTAGACTTAAGCTGGGGAAAGAATGAAAGGGATAATAACGCCCTCCTTTTGAAATTCTACAGGAAGAAAACAGACCAAAGAACATATATGTGTTGTTCTGTAGGAAGTAGAACCAAAAGAAAAATACAGCATGAGAATTAGAGAAATACTGGGAACTCTGGTGACCAAGTGACAAGAAGCTGCACTGTAATCCAAGAGGTATATGGTTCAAATCCACCAGATGCTCTGCTAGAGAAGGAGGGACAATTTCCTCCTGTACCAGTCAGATCCAATTTGATGGTACACACACACACACACACACACACACACACACACGAAAATAAAATAAAATGAAAACATTTTAAAAAAAGAATTAGAGAAATACCAATTCAAAAACTCTAGTATGCATGATGGGAGCTTTGGTGACCTAGAGGCAAGAAGCTGTGCTGCAATTCCAAAGGCACATGGTTCAAGGTCACCAGCTGCTCTGTCGGAGAAGGATGGACAATCTCCTCCCATCTGATTAACTGTCTCTGAAAACCCACTGGAAGGGCCAGCTATGGGTTAGTTCCAACTCGACAGACAGTACACAACAGTATGCATGACACAATGTTGCTTGACAGAAATGTAAGTAACTTGAAATACTTAATGATGAAGATTCATGTCTCTAACCTTCCATAGGAACTACTCCTGAATACAGACATTCTCAGAACTTGACCGTTAAACAACACTATGAGAAATGAAGTTGTTTTGGTGAATTGAGTTTACTCTATTTGTATCAAAACAGTCACTACCCATGAAGGCAGCAGTCAAGAAATTCGTAACATATGTTGCAAATCTGCTGAAAAAAAAAATCTATTCAAAGATGTCACTTTAAGTACTAAAATACACCTGGCTCAAACCATGGTCTTTTCAATCACCCCCAAATGCATGAAATGCGTGTAAAAGCTGAACAATATAAACAGAAGGCAGAAGGAGAATTCAAGCTATCATGCCGATGAAGAGTATTGATTATACTATGACCGTCAGAAGAATGACTAAAGCAATATTCAAGGAAGTACAGCCAGGATCCTTGTTAGATGTGAGGAGGATGGTGAGGGTTTGGCTCACTAACGTTAGGCAAGTCATCAAGAAAGGCCAATCACTAAAAACGGATATAAAGTGTGGTAAAACAGAGGACAGAGAAAGGGAGAAAAACCTTCAATGAGCTGCACTGACACAATAACTGAAACAGTGGACTCAAGAGTACAAATGTTCATGAAGCTGGTATAGGATCAGGCAATGTTCCAATGTGTAAAACACATGTATAACACGTTCACTACTTAGTGAGAGCTGACTCTTAGGCAACTATCAGGAAGGGCAACCCGTGCACTTTGGCAGCTTTGGCTTCTCCCCTTTGGCTTTATCAGGGTCGTCAGAGAGCTCTGAATTGCTCCTCTCAGCCTGCCATTTCCAGAACACAAGAACATCTATGGTGACAAGAAGTATTTCCTCCCAGCCCAATTTCTGGAAGTTTCCTTCCCATGAGTTTCCCATTTAGATCACTACTAAAACCTTATGATCCAGAACCAGGCTAGACAAAGAGATCTTCATGAGTTCTCTCTATAATTTCAGAGATGGATTGCAATCTATCCAAGGACATGCACCCAGTTAATTGCAAGGATAACTAGAAGTCCAAAACAAAAATCCCAAACCCATTGCCATCCAGCCAATCCTAACTTGTGGTGAGTCCATGCATTACAGAGCTGATTTAAGACAGGACGGTTCTTGGCTGCAATCTTTGTGAAAGCAAAGACTTCCTTCCATCACATTGATGCATAGATTTGAATTATCAACCTTTAAGTTAGTAGTTGAATGCAAACTGTTTGTGTGACTCAGAAACCATCCCATTATTGCACTCTACTGCCAAGAGTTTGTCTGCCTTGCACATTGACTTGGCCAAGAGGAGGTACAGAAACTTAAAATTGAAGCCAACATCAGGGAGTTCTGGTGGCCTAGTGGCAAGAAGCTGCACTGCAATCCCAGGGGTATGTGGTTCGAATCTACCAGATGCTCTGCTGGAGAAGGAGGGATAATCCCCTCCTGTACCAGTCAGATCTGATTTGATGGTACACACACACACACACACACACACGCGAATAATAATTTTTAAAAATTTGAAGCCAACATCCCAGAGTCTTACCTTTAAAGAAAACGTAGTTCACCATAACCATGAGCGTCATGCCATCAAGGCCTCGAACCAGGTCCACGATCTTCCCCTTGGTCTCCTTTTCCACATAGCTGTTGATCTTCTTCTGGGCAGCGGAGAGGTTGGAGAAATCTGTACGGAAGACTCTTGACACATATAGTCTCCGGACATTGTTCAGAAAACTTGTCTGTGGCTGTAGTTCCCTTTTGATGAAGAGGCCACTGCCCATCTTCAAGTCCAAGTCTTTGCTGGAGACATTGAGGGAGCTTACCAGTTGCTGGAAGCCCTGATGGATGTGGGACTCTGTGATCTTCTGAGGGTTGAAGCCCAGGCCCTGCAGGATCTGGGTCTTGGTGGTTGAGCCGGCCCCCAGCGAGAGCATGGCTAGGGCTGTGGAGATACTCACAGGGGAGAAGAAGATGTTCTGCAGTGAGTCCTTCACAGCCAGCCTTCGGTAGAGGTGGAAGGCGAAGTCAGTGTTGACGGAGGACACATGGAAGGTGGAAGTCCTTTTTGTGGAGGGAAGGCAAGCAGATCCCCCATCGGGGTGTCTGGATGGGAGTCCACAATAGATTGATTTGCAGAGGCCAACAATTACAAGAACTCGATAAAAGGACAATGCCATTCTGGAAAGAAAGACGTCTGCAAAAGAGGGAAAAAAACCATTGGAGAGACAGGAGCTGGGTATCCAGATCCAGAATCCAAGACACTTCTCTTAGTCATAAAATAATTGCCATCAAATAAATGTCAACTGAGGGCAATCCCATGTATGTCAGAGCAGAAAAGAGTTTCCATTGGCTGTGACCTTTTGGAAGCAGACAGCCTGGCCTGTCTTCCAAGGTTCCTCCAGATGAACTCAAACCATCAATTTGTTATTAATAGCCAGCACTTAGCCACTCATGCCCTTCAAGGGCTCACATCTTTGCTCCAGACACTCCTCATCTCTTCCTTGAGCAGCCCTGAAGTCACCTGCAAGCATCCCTTCCTGCAGCCTTGTTTTCTTAGACTGTTCATGTCAGGTCAGGACTCAAGGTCACGAGTAGAAGACACAGACCACATGCACACAGAGAAGAGACAGACCAAGATGTTACCTTCTCTAGTGGACACTGGACTCTATGGCCAGCAGGCTCATTCTTGCGTGTGACTGAAGCAAGAAAGATGTCCTGCATTTGCCCTCTTGTGCCATTGTCTGGAGACTTTGTCCCTTGTCCCCGGAGAACAGATACAGAGGTAGGCTTGACCGGGTGCCATTTAGTGCCCACACAAGGGTTTCAATGTGCTGAGAACAATGGGAGGCTTCTCTGATAGGAGGAACTGGGTGAGAGAGACATAGACACAGAGAAAGAGAACAAGTGTCGTTTCCTAGTTAAAGAATATTCTAGGTCTAAGGCTTTCACTTAGGCAGCAAGACAGGAATTGAAGCAACAAATACTTCTCCCAATAGAATAGTCTCCAAATGACTGAGGTGAAATTCCCCAAGTGGCAGACAGAGGTGACACCTCCTCAATACGACAAACCTACCAGGATTTGCTAATTTCTCCTCTCTGATGCTTCACTTACCCCCAGTATTTCTGTGTCTATGCTATTCAGTAGCAACGGCAAACTGCACATGGTCTACCGCCCTGCTCAACCCCCGTGCCCTGTTCCAGCACACTGTGCCCCTACCACCTCAGTGCCCTGGCAGCGTGATTCTCTTAGAAGGCCCTTCTCCTTCCTCATGGGACATTCCATCTTCCTTATTCTTGCAAAGTCTCCTTAGCCTTCTCTGACTCCTTCCCATGGCTCCGTCATTCTCTCCCTTTTCTCCTTTCTGACTTTTTTTATCTCATTGATGTCTATCTATAGACTACAGACCTTTTGGAGATTACTACCATTTATTTATAGTGAGTTCACTCATTAGATTTGCTTGAGCATCTTGACGTGTGCCAGCTGTGTGCACTATGCGAGGTATTGGGATGCCAATGGGAGATGCTCAAGTATATTATTGCCCTTGAAGAGTTTTCTGGAAAGGCACATAATTAGCAAATGTTATGAGGTATGAGAAGGGCTCTGTTAGTCTATACGGTAAGGATTTGGGCTGCCAATCCAAAGGCAGTGGTTCGAACCCACAAGCTCCTTTGTGAGAGAAAGATGGTCAATCTCCTTTTGTGTAATTTACCCACTGGAGGGTCAGCTATGACATAGTTTCAACTCAAGGGCACATAACAACAGAGAGAACAACATAAATGTATGAAAAGTATGAAGAACAGTCTTAGTGAACACTTATCCCACTGTCAGGAAGGATTCTCAGGGCCAGGGACTGCAGGGTGATGAAGAAGAGGAAGAAGGGAGGTTCAAGCACAAAGCCCCTTGCACAAAGTCCCTGGGAGTCAAGGTAGGTTTGAGCACACACACAAAAATGTTTTGTGAAACAAAGTCAGAGCACCAGAGAAATTTGGCAGGAAAAGGAAATGGAAACTGGGGGACACATATGAAGGTCACATCGACCTGACCCTCAGCTCTGGATGGATCCCCCTTAGGGTTTTATGCAGAGGAATGACGCCAACTCAGGTGGGTGTGTCAGTGGTGGCTCTAGCCCCTCCCAGAGCAGTAAATGCACAGGGTAGGGACACACCAAGGAAAGGTGCAATTACTTGAGGTGGAAGCATGTTTACAACAGGCTTACAATGAGGGTGGAAGGATATAATGAGGGAGGCCATTAAGTAAATCACCTATAGGAATGTGGGGCTGAAACTCTAGAGGTCTATCTGCTGAGGACTTCCCTGCAGACTTTGCCCACCAAGATGACAGGAACACAGGACCCTCTGGGCATCTGTTCATGGCCAGCCCCTCCTCTTCACAGTCTCCTTTCCACCTTCGTTCACCTGTCACCTGTTCAGCTCCTCACTGATGCCCCAGATCCCACCACTCAGACACACTGCAGACTGACTGAGCTCTCTAGACACAAATCTCGTTGTTTCATTCACTTATTCAAATTCCTCAAGGCTCTCCCATTGCTCTTGGATGAAATATCCAGGTTCTTGGTATTTCAATTCTTCTCTATTTGACCCCACTCTCTGCCCAACTTCTTCAAACACTTTGCTCCACTTGTTCCAGTTTTCTGAATAGGGTGATTTCTCTCAGCTCACTCACCCTCCTTTGCCTTCACTCATCTTCTTATCCAGTTAGGATGTCAAAGAACTTCACTTCACTACAATTCCTTGCACTCTGTGGGGATTTTGGATACTCCCTTTCGGAAAGGATCTAAGCTAGGAAGAACTTAACATCTCCTCTAATTCTACCAAGTACTTCTGTGGGAGGTAGTTTGTGAGGCAGCTTGGTCCACACAAACATGTATTCACACTAAACTTTATCTACCTGCATCTTCACTACACATCATTGATTGACTTACTCTTCTATTTTTATCATCTCCAATCCTTAAGTATCTGACTCCCTTCCCTACTTCTAACAGGTTTGTGTACACACACACACACACAGAGAGAGAGAGAGAGAGAGAGTAGATGCTCTTACCTTCTATCACATACAAAAGCAACATCGATAAAGGATTAACTTCAGCAAATACATATTTCTCCTTCCTCCAGAGCCCATTTCTACCTCTCCATCTCCCTCATTCTAAAGTCAATCAATCCCACTGTCCAAATTTAAGGAAACACCCTTCTAACCATCTCAGAACCTTTTTTTTTTTAAAAATTATTGATTTACTTAGAAAGTTCATAAAATTTGTATACATTGTTTTTCACACCAGATCTTCCACTTTTGCTTTCCCCATCTGAACATGGAAATTGCATATGACCCAGCTATTCCACTGCTTGGAATATGTTGTTGTTGTTGTTTAATGCCGTCGAGTCATAGACGACTCATAGCGACCCTATGAACGAACAGCCTGAGCACTGTTCATACATAGAGTTTCCAGAGGCAAGCCATTTTGGAAGTGGATGCCGCTCTTGCTTCCAGGCTTGATTTAGTCGGGAAGCTCCAGCCAACACTGTGCACCATGGGTGCCCATTACCACGATTGGCACATCACTGTCACAGGCTTCAGCATCACAGCAACCATGAGTTACCTCTGTACAGCAACACACAGACCAGTGCTATACCACCTAGAAGAATGTTTGACAGGAAGACAATTTGAACCTGGCTGAGGGCCACAGGTCCGAGGGCCCTTTGGGCTTAAGGCCACCTCCTGGTTCAAACCCTAGGCCCAGGCTGGCTAGCCTCACTCCAGGGACAGAGCAAACCTGCACATTCCCAGAAAAGCAGTCCACTCCAAAAGTTGCCACGATTCCTGCACTCCCACCACCACGCTCTCGCCTTCTGGCAAGGTGAGCTTCCCATGAGCCTGTGAAGGTGCCAGCCAAACCAGGAACAACATGGCCGCTTCCTTCCCAGCTTCCTTCGGCTTAAGGCCGCCTCCTGGTTCAAACCCTAGGCCCAGGCTGGCTAGCCTCACTCCAGGGACAGAGCAAACCTGCACGTCAAACACATTCCCGGAAAAGCAGTCCACTCCAAAAGCTTGCCACGATTCCTGCACTCCCACCACCACGCTTCTGCCTTCTGGCAAGGAGAGCTTGGAATATACCCTGAGAAAATGAGAACTGAGGCACAAGCAGAGATTTGTACACTAATGTTCACAGCAGCGTTATTCACCATTGCAAGAACATGGAAACAGCCCAAGCACCCAACTACAATGGAGTGGATTGAGAAATTATGGTACATTCACACAGTGGAATACTATGCAGCACTCGGAGCAATGATTTTGTAAATTACTACCTAACATGGGAGAGACTGGAGAGCATTTTGCTAAGGGAACTAACTCAGAACCTTTACAACTCTTTATTCTGTCTTTAAACTCTTTCTCTCACCTGGACCTTGCCAATGAATTTTAATCATGTTCAAGTCTTGTCCATTAAGACAAATAAACAAAGAAACAATAGGAACAATCAAGCTCTTCCTCTCTTCCTTTCACCCCTGCATTCCCTCCTAGCAACTTCCCCATCTCTATCTTCCCCACAATGGCTCCTCAAAGACTAAGAATTCACAGTCTCATTGCACCCTCTGCCACACATTCCAAGTTGGCTGCTGGGCTACAGAACCCTAACCCAGATGAAGCTAAAAGTCAAAGATTATGCTTACCTTCTCATCTTACTGGATCCCTCAGTTGCATCTGACAGCGAAGAGCTTCCCCTTGGCTTTGTGAACCATGTTCTTCTGAATTTTCCCTACCTCTCTGATGAGCTTTTCAGTCACTTTTATGGGCTCTTCTTCTTCCACCCAGACCCCAAATGCTGGTGAGCCTTAGAACTCAGTTACTTGATACAGTTTTCTTCTCACTTTAATCTCTTTCTTTCCATGTGACTTTACTTAATAGTAAGAGATGAAAACATTATTTTCTCCTAGACCTTTTTACTAAAGTTCCTAGATCTTCTTACCTTATACGTCCTCTTTGTTGTAAAGGAGGACACTTAAATGCAGTATGACCCAACCTGAACTGAGATTCCTTCCCAAACACAGTCTTCAAATGAAACTTACAACTGAAACTCTTTCAACATATTCATCAATGACACCATCATTCATCTAATTATTCAAGCCTCGGACTCATCCCTTCTCCTAATTACCTTCATCAACTGATGGCCAGTGTCACCAAATTATCTCTTAAACAGTCTTCACATTTATTCATGTTTCTCTGTTCCCACCATTAACACACAATTTGGGTTATGATGGCCTGTCCCTTCTATCCATTCAGCACACGACAGACATGAAGCCACAGAAAAATCAAAGATGACCATGTTCCTTACCTATATTAAAATACTGCAGAAACTTCCCATTTCCAAGACTCAAGTCTCACTCAACTCAGGTAGCCTGAGTTCTTCTGGTCTTTCTATCTTCACTGCACATCACAAAGTCCTTCGCTTTTGCATTTTATCCTTATTTTGCTCATTTTTACCATCTCCATGTGATATTTGTTTTTCCTACTCTGGAGTCTTCCCACTTCCTTCACTCAACTTTTACCTGTAAGCAGTCTCACTTATTGTTTGGGTCCTATTTTATGTAACTTTTCCAAGAAAGCTCTTTCTTACTAGTCAGTTTTATTAAAAAAAATCTTGTATTAATTGTTTTAAATGCAGATTAAGGAAACACCGCTATCATAATTTCACATATGTTTATATGACTGGAAATTTCATGAATGAAGCAACTTGTTCTATCTTGTTCTCCCCTTGATAGCTTCCATTTGGCCGGTACTGAAGTCTCAGAAATGTTTTCTGAATAAATTAATGAATTAACTAATATAAGAGCAAAGTGAAGGAACTTTGGCCTATTCTATAGAGAGTTATACTATTAACCCAAAGATCAAGCTTCTCTGGTGATTCTAATCCACCAGCTGCACAGAAGGAGAAAGATAGATCGTCTCCTGTGTGATTCCTACTCTTGGAAAGCCACGGGAGGGTCAGCTATGCAGAGTAAGTGATCCATTTACCTCCAACCTGCTGTTGAGCCCATCCATAGGACAGATCGATCAGAACTGCTCTATAGTGTCTCCAAAGCTGTAAATCTTTACAAAACAAACTACTACCTCCTTCGGAGAGCCCAGTAGGTGTGAGCACTAACCATTCACTTAATAGTCACATGCTTAACTGCCATGTCATCAGGGTTCCTAAGTTTACCGGGATGATATTAGTTAAGGGGAAATTACTGGGAAAATTTAAAAAAAAAAAAAAGATTTCAAGAACCCACCCAGGGTGGGGATACATTCAAGTTCTGACCAGGAAAGAAAAAAAAATAAATTAAGAGATCGCTTGAACATCTGAGGCATTGGGTACAGACCCCACTGAGGCCACACTAGGAGTAAACTAAACTACTTAACATGAGGACTACTTGCTTTAAAGATAATGTAAAACTAGAGAAGATGAGAAATCGATTATCAAGTAACTTAGTTTCTTACAAATATTCTGCAAAACAAGGCAACAACATGAAGAAAACAAAAATTCTATTATCGTAGTGTACAGCATCCAGCAAAAATAACTAAATAGGCTAAGAAACATAAAATGTCTCATGTCCAGAAGAAAAATCAAGCCATAGAAATAGACTTACACAGAAATGGATATCAAGGGCTTCAAATCAGCTGTTTTAAATATAAGGCAAAGATGTTAAACTTTGTTAAGTTTAAGGCCAGAGAAAAAGAGGGATATTGACACAGTGGTGGTAACAACAGGCCCCACAGAGCCACCATTGTGAGAACTGGGTAATGGTTCATTCTATTGTGCTTAGGGCCATTTAGAATTGACACTAACTTGGTGAAACAACAAAAACAATAACATCATTTTGAACGTTCTCAGTAATTTAAATGAGTATGTTAATGTAATGTGAGAAAATAAAGAACCATAAAAAAAAGACTCAAACTGAGATACTAAAGAGGCCAAATTCAACATCTCTAATGGAAAACTTACTAAGTCTGTTTATAAAACAAAACAAAACAGGAATAAGAAAAGAAAAGTGAATTTGAAAGCATAACTATAGGAAAAGAAAGTTGGGGTTGGGGGACCCAACCAAAAACCAAACAAACCAGAACTCCAATGCTGTGTGGGTAAACACCAAGTGATCTAACATATGTATAATTGAAATCCTAGAAAGAGAAAGACTTGAGAATAGGGAAACAGAAAACAAGCTTTAAAGAAATAAAGGCAAAATATATTTATATGCTTTTTGTAAGTTATATCTTTATTAAAAAGAGTAAATAATATAATACAATACAAAAGGAATACAACCCTGTAATTTTTTTACCTACTCTACCTGTTTCACAGTCTGCCCAGGCCATTCTCCCCACCCGTCTTAGTTATCTACTGCTGCTATAACAGAGGTCCACGTGGATAGCTTTAGCAAGCAGCTCTTACATTTTGGAAAGTTAAAAGTCCAAATTGGGGATGCCAGCTTTTGGGGAAGGCTTTCTCTGGGTCAGTTCTAGAGGAAGGTCCTTGGTTCCATCAGCATCTTTGGGCCCAGCATTCCTTGGAGATAGATTTTGTTAGGGAATTTTCCCCTAGGTCAATGAGTTTCCCACATAGGGTCCTGGGTCCAAAGAACATGTAGACTCCTAGATTTTCTGTCTCAGTGGTACTGAGGTCTCTCTCCTTTGCTCTCCTCCTCTCTCCACACCC